GTATAGAAGGTGCTTTTCCTTTTAAGCCGTGATAGCCTTGCCAGCATTTTCTCCCCCAGTGAGCAGACCTGTGTCTCCAGTTAGTCAGAAGAGATCAAGTACAAACAGAGAGCAACTTCACAAAGCTTTGCTCTTATCCAGTTTCCCGTCCCAGTTCATTGAAAGGGATTTTCTCAGAGGGGTTTCTCTCTCTTTCTTTCTTTCTCTCTCTTTCTTTCTTTCTCTCTCTCTCCCTCTCTAGGAAGGATAGTGTTTTGGGGCTGTTTGCCATATGCTGGATGTTATCGGGTCTTTCCTCATCACAATGTCCTGGCCGCCTATTCTTCAGACATTCACACTCACCATTTAATTACTTTAGTAGTAATTTGGCCTGACCAGCTTTTTTTTTTTTTTTTTTTTTTTTTTTTCTTTTTAAATAAAGATTGTTGGGTCAAATTTAAAGTGTATCTGTTTCCTATAGAACTTTCTCTGTACATTCGTTTATTAAAAAGAAAAAATGCAAAGTGTGGAAGCTATTGCTCTATCAATTGTGTGGCTGGAGTGGACAGTTCCTAAGGCAGTCCTTTTTTTTTTTTTTTTTTTTTTTTTTTTAGTTGTCCTTCCTCCCATGTGGTAAAGCAAAACAGCATTATGCAAAAAGGAGTATCTGGCCTCACTTTAACCGCCTCCCACCCGCCATATAGTAATATGACGGACGCAAGGCGGTTCTCTCGTTCTGGGAGGACGTCATATGACGTCCTCCCATTCTAACCGCACATGCGCGGCTCGGGGAGTGATCGGCGGTGCGCTGTGTCCCTCGGACACGGCGGATCACCGATCCATGAAAAGAGCCGAAGATGTTGGCTCGGTCATGTGATCAGCTGTGTCCAATCACAGCTGATCGCATGTAAATAGGGAAATGCCGGTTATCAGCATTTCTCTCCTCACGAGCGGTCATGCTGACAGCTCGTGAAGAGAGGAGAGCCGGTAATCGGCATTCCTCGGAGGGGACATGTACACAGATCATCAGAGCACTGTTGATCAGTGTGCCCTGATGATCTGTGTAGCCCCAGCAGTGCCACCTGTCAGTGTCCATCAGTGCCAGCTCTCATTGCTCATCCATGCCACCTGCCAGTGCCACATTAATACCATATTTCAGTGCCTACCAGTGCACATCAATGCCACACATCAGTGCCCATCTGAGCTGCCTTTCAGTGTCACCTGTCAGTGCCAACTAACAGTGCTGTCAGTGCCAACTATGCCTATCAGTGCCGCCTGTCAGTGCCATATGAGTGCTGCCTTTCAGTGCCCATCAGTGATGCCTATCAATGCCACCTATCAGTGCCCATCATTGCAGCCTCATTAGCGCACATCAGTGAAGGAGAAAAATCACTTATTTACAAAATTTTTATAAAAAAAAACTAAGACTTTTTTTTTTTTTCAAAATTTTTAGTGGTTTTTTTTGTTTAAGAGAAAATAAAAAACCCAGAGGTGATTAAATACCACCAAAAGAAAGCTCTATCTGTCACAAAAAAAAGATAAAAATTTCATATGGGTACAGTGTTGCATGACCACACAATTGTCATTCAAAGTGCAACAGCGCTGAAAGCTGGAAATTGGCCTGGGCAGGAAGGGGGTATAAGTGCCCTGTAGGCTAGCAGTTAACCAAGAGCTTGAAGAGGAATGTCACCACCCTCTGTAATTTTCGTTTCCCCTCCTACTTTGCTTCTTGGGTTATTCTCAAAGCACATACTCTCATTTCCAGCATTGTCCTGTAATCTGCTGAAGGCAGCCATGCTTTGGGTCCCAGGCCCCATCTGCTTGCGTCATCAGTAGCCACATGTCTCTCCTGGGTTTCTTGTAGCCGGCGGCCCCTGATGACATATACAGTCACACATGCACTGTGTGTGTTCTTAAATTTGTGACCTGTACAGAGATTTCACCTGTTCTGCCACCTTCTGATGAAATCTGGATTTGTAAAACTACCACGACCGCTGCAAAATTTGGGGATTCCTAAGTTCCTATAACAAGGCCCCTTAAAGCAAGAAAGTTCCATTTAAAATCTAGTCCGCCTTGGGAGATTGTTAACCTGGGGTGTATGCAGAATGCACATACCTGTTTCAAAGTTGGAACTCTAAAAAGATTCTCTTTGGGGCTGGAAGGTGAAAACATGTAAAATGTCTGCTAACTTGTACCAGGTTTATTAGTTGTTTTGCAGCTGAATATAGCAAGGGGGAAAAGCTTATTTCACATGCCTGCAGTTTTTATAGTATTGTGAATTCCCTTCCAATGAGAGTCAGTGTAACCCATATCATGTAATGACGAGGATCTACAATCTGGTTGCTATGGGTTAATGCCTGCTTTACACGTAATCTGCGCCCTTTGCACAGACTTATTACCAAGTGCAAGTGTATGTCTGTCTGTTTCCTCATAATAGGAGCATTGTGCTGTGGGTTGACATGCCCAGGGCCTAGTAATAGGCTTTCTGGCAGGTTTTGCCAGGCTTGCCCTTCCCTCCAAAGCAAGACACATTAGTAGACTTGTCTGTTTATTTTTTGAAAGGTTATTGATTGTGTTGGAGCTTCATCTCTCCAGCTTCCCGACATCCACAATGCCCCACAGCACTTCTGCTCTAAAAAGCAAACAAGCAAATATTTCAGAGTGCTGCATACGTGCCGTGCTCCAGCCAGTTGGAATTAATCTCTCAGTAATTGTAATATGAGAAGCTGTGCAGATGAGCTGAAGTTTGTGTGCCACGGCATATCCTGGATGGCTGTGCTTTATGAAGTTTGATGATTTTTTTTTTTTTTTTCTTTGTCTACCTGCAGCCGTGACATGGAAAATAAAGAGACACTCAGGGGGCTACAGAAAATGGACGACCGCCCGGAGGAGCGCATGATCAGGGAAAAACTGAAGGCTACATGTATGCCAGCCTGGAAGCATGAATGGCTGGAGAGAAGGAGCAGGCGAGGCCCTGTGGTAAGTAAGCCTGGCCATGCCACCTTGTATATGGGGACATGCTGCCCATTTGGTCAGCAGTGACTAGAACAGAGCAAGCATGTACTGAGTGGACAGGAGGAGATTGTACTTTCCTTCATCTGTCTTAATTTACAGATGGGAAAATGTATTTTCTTTTTACAAATGTTCTGCAGTCAAACCTTTAGTTAAAATTATTCCTTTCCAAAAATGGTGGTGGTGCCATGACTGCATTGGAATCAGGTTGGATAATTAGGGACTCCACTTTCTGATGACCAGCGAACATGATGACCTGGCTGTTTATTAAATTGCAAGCATTCCAAGCTGAGCCAGTGGCCTGTACTCCTGTCGATCTGTGGCACATTCTCTAGTGCTTTAATATCTCTGCAGGAAACTGCAGAGTTTACTGCTTCTGTCATCTAGAATATCCAGCACTTTTCTGATTGGGCACTAGACTTCCTATACCTCATTACAATAATTATGTACATTTGACTAGAGCAGGGGCCTCCAAACTTTGTAGACAAAGGGCCAGTTCACTGTCCTTCAGACTTTAGGGGGGCCGGACTGTGACCTTTTGAGAGTAGAAAATGTCCCGAAGTCAGTGGAGCAAAAACAATGCCCCATCTTTGGTGTCAGTGGGAGGAATTGTGCTACATCATTGGTATCATTGAGAGGAATCGTGCCCCATCAAATGTCATTGGGCCCCATTGTTGGTGTCATATGGAGGAATAGTGTCCCATCATTTGTGTCCGTAGGGGGAATTATGCCCCATTGTTTATCAGTGGATGAAATGGTGCCCCAAGGACCAGATAAAAGCAAGCAAAGGGCCACATCTGGCCCTCGGGCCGCAGCTTGGAGGCCACTGGACTAGAGTATAACTTTTGTGAGTTGAGTATGTTTGAGCTCAGTGAGAATTTTTAAACGTAGAGAATTACTTTTGTTATGGCTTTGTGGGAGAGAGATTAGACCAATCTCAACAGTGAATATTTAACAATTTTCAAAAGTGAATCGGTGCTTTTGCTCATACAGGGCAAAACAGGTTATTTTTAAATGCATATATCCACACATATTTGTCTTCCTTTCTACAACCCTGCTTCTCTGTTCAGCTACCAGGAGCAAAGGTAAGTCTTTTGTAAGCCACAAATCACTAGAGTCATAGCTTGGCTATGGATTCTGTGACAGTGCTGATCAGTCAGTCACATGCTCCTCCATACCTGGAAGTACAAGGTATTTCTTTCTGCTTCTGGTCTTCAGCAGAAGGCAGCAGAGTTGAGGAAAGGTACGAATATTCTGCTGTGGAGAGGTGATTAAAGCAAAGCTGCTTTTTTCCTGAGCGGGCAAATCACATGGGTTCTTTAAGAAACTAGTACCTAAAGCTGTTCATACACTGTTCAATTTTTTTTTTTTTTTTTTCCCCAGTTAGCAGAGTGGAACAGAAAAAAAACAAAAACCCATTACTCCTATCTGCGTTATACAGAGCAGATGGACAAATACTCCTGCTGGGTTGACCATTGTCAGAATACCTGAACAGTGACAGCATGTGATTGGATGCAGTCACTGTTTAGCCAACAGTTTTCCCGCATGGCTCCTTCAGCTTTTCATTGCAAAGGATGACAGGTGGAAGGAGGCCAAATAGTTGCAGACTGACAACTCATGGGGCCACCGGGCAATAAGGGATCATGGGGCCCCTGTGTCCTTGCCCAAACTCAAAAAAGCCTATGAAAAAAGTTTCCAGGGGCATCTCATGGGGCCCCTTACTGACCCCGGGCCCTCGGGCAGTGCCCGAGTTTCAAAATGGTCAGTCCGCCCCTGAGGCCAAATGGACCATATGCTAAGCAAATTTTAGCTGGTATGTAAGCCGTCGGCTGAAATTCAGTGTATAGCCAGCTTTAGAAAAACTGAAATGTCCCTGTGTCTTAAAATGCAGCTGTATATTTAATAGTAAATGTAACATTACAAAGGAAAAGTGGGAAAGGAGTATTCATAAAAGGGGAGCACTTGTATTAACTGATATTTTGCTGTTTGTGTAATGCAGGTTGTAAAACCAATTCCTGTGAAAGCTGATGGGATAGATACTCCAAATCAGACTCTTCGGTTGATGGGTCATTGAATGGATCATCCCATATTCTGAAGGGGAGACGCAGCCCTTCCCCCAGCAGCTCATCCAGCTCTTCTAAATCAAAGCCAGAATCTCCAGGAATGAAGAGAAGAGGATTGTCTCCTGTCCCTGTAAGTTCTGTCACTTTTACATGCTGGGAACTGTTACTGTTGCTGCATTGATTATTATAGCCATTCACAAAAGCTGTTGGCTTTCAAGTTGGCAGTTTGTCGTCCATTTTTGTTACCCATATAATTGTGAATGCCCTAGTTATTTTGGGGGCATAAACAATCTTTTCTATTGGAATGCCAGTGCAGTGATTGGCACACTAAATATTTGAACTATTTGGAGATTACTTATTCTAAAAATAAAAGCCTGATCTACATGAGCATTACCAACATAAATATCTGCTGCTGATCACAACATACTGTTATGACTCAATAGTGAGCTTCTTTGGCACAATCTACATGAATTTTAGTGGTTTTGTTTTTAAAAAATATATATATAATTTTTGTGAGCTTGGCTTATTCCATCATTGTTAAATATTTTTCCTGAGTGGGCTTCCTGTTGCCTAGCTTACAGGAAAAAAGTATTTTGTGCCAACATTGGAAGATAACTGTTCAGTACCTTGCTGTGATGGAAAGTGGCAACAGAATCATAACATTTAGTTTGTGTGCCAGGGGCCAAAATTTGCAGCTGCTGCTTAACTTTTTTTTTTTGTAATGTTTTTCCTATTGTTTGTGGTAGTGCGTGTATTTTTGCTCCTATGACATGCTGGCTTCTAGATTGGACAAGCTCCCTAATTTTAGATTAAACCGTAAGATCGTAAGAATTTGGGGCAAAAATGGCAGTCACAAGTCTCTTAGCATCTGTGTCCATTTCTGGGGTTAAGCATAGAACTATTAGCAAAAGGATTGTGCAGGATTGGAAATAAGTGCTTGAGCTGATGGAGAGATCACACTGTCCTTGGAGATAATGCAGTTATTGGGGGACATGTTCATGTAAACTGATGATTTTCTGCAGTTTCAGAGTGGACGTACAACTCCACCGCGGAGAGCGCCATCTCCTGATGGATTTTCTCCGTATAGTCCTGAGGAAACCAGTCGCCGGGTCAACAAAGTGATGCGAGCAAGACTCTATCTGCTGCAGCAAATAGGACCCAATTCTTTTCTGATTGGTGGAGACAGCCCAGATAATAAATATACAGAGTTTTTATTGGCCCTCAGGTAAGTCTGTCACATATATTTTGTTTTTGCTGAAAGAAGCACTGTCGTGTAATTAAAACTAGACTGAAATTCTTTTGTCCACCTACTCCACACACTTTCTGATTGGAGAAGGGAAAGTTTGTAGTTTTCACAGAAAGCATTTTAGGATTTCTGAAGGGATTCTATTGAGACAATTTCATATATAGGATTGCATACCTAGGTTATCCTACTTCCCCCCCCCAATCTAATCTGCAGTAGGGTAGGAGGATATGCTTCTGATCTTTGTTTCTAATTAAGTGAGAAACTTCTTCTCCTCTCCCCTGCAATCCCATAAGCAAGCTTGTCGCCCTCATAGGACTTCTCTAGCTGTGCTGTGACTAAGTGAATGTGACAGACAATTTAAGAAGATTTTACGTGCACGGTATGAAATCACTTGGAACTCTGCTCTCTCTCCATCACACATACTTCTGGGTAATGTCATTTAATAAGGGTTGCAGTGCGTATGATCTCCAGGCTAGAACTCAGATTTTAATCATTTGTTTCATTATTACATTTCATTAGATTTTATAAATTTTTTTTTGTTCTAGCAGTTTTAGGATAGGTATGGGTATTTGTTTGCTAGGAGACCAACAGTACTTGTGATTTCTGCCAACAGAAACTTGTGCTGAGAGGAAAATGGATTGACCATTCTAACCGCCTGCAAAGAATGCTATTTGCCAGGCTGTCATGTTGATCAGTACTTTGCATCACTGATCCAGACAAGGTATACTCCAAGTGAAATGAGACCTGATGTGCACTCTTGTGCCAGGTCAATAAAGGCCTTTAGACGGCATAGCATCCATTCGATTAGCCATTTTAGAAGGAGGAGTCGGCAATGTCCTATCCTGAATGCCAAAATGCAAAATGTAGGTGCATTGTTGATGAATGTAAAAACCATAGTGTTGCAGCATTGAGTACGGGAGTGCACATTGTTGTGGTGTTTGGCTAGTATAAAGCACATATTACTGTAGTATTGGAGAGTTGAAACACCTATTGGTAAGTGTTAAAGGGCATGTCTGTGATGGCAGAAGTACATACAGGTGCTGTGTTGGTGCAGGTTTTACGGAGTACAGAAAAATGCTCTTTGCTGTGCAGCTGAGTGCTAGAAGTACATGTAGCTGCAGTGTTGGCTGCTGTAGAAGTGATGGCAAGTGGAAAAGTGAGGTTGCAGTATCAAGTGCACATCAGTGACTGACGAAATATGCTCTAATGCAGTATTGGCACGTGCCAAAGCGTGCGCTGGATTGGTGTTGGTAAGTGCAAAAGTGCACATCATTGCGGCACTGACCAGTAATAAATGATGATTGTGCAGTGTTGGTAAAAAGAAAAATGCAAAGGCTGAGTATGTTGGCACAGAATGGTGTGCTGGTATGGTACCTGCAAGTGTCACTGAAGTTTTGGCAGAAGTGCACTTTGGTGCAGTGTTTGCAAAAGCATTCTATTTTGCACTTTCAGTATTTGTGAGTGCAAAAAAGCATGTTGTTGCTGTGTCAGCTAGTGGGGGTGTGGTATCGGTGAATGCAGAAGTGCATGGAGCTGCATTGTTGGCAAACGGAACATTGTGAGTGCAAAAGTTGGTGTAGGCACGAAGTTGGAGAGCAGGTGTGAGTACAGTGTGCATTGTCAGTGAGTGCAGAGGTGTATTAGCTGCAAGCAGGGTCTTTCATGGCAGCATGGTGTCAGAGAGCAGGGCCCTGTTAAAAGTGTGAATTAAATCACATGGTTCAATGCACATTTAACAAAGTATCTTTATAATCTAGATACATTCATTGCTAAATGTTAATATGTATTGAATTAATTGGGCTTGACATACACTGAAAACTTCTGATGCCAGGGAGAGTGGGTAACCTACCTAAACAGTCTGTTGAAGCCTTGGTCATCGCGTGTCCTCTCTGGAAGAACAGGAGGTGGATGGAGTATGGTGCTGAGTGTGGACATGCACAGGTGAAAGTGCTCTCTGCTGCGAGGAAAGACCTTGTTGTGGACAAAATGTGTTTGGAAGCATTGCTGCAGAACCCTTTCACCTGCGCATGCCTGATCATTGTGACACTTGCTATTCAGTGATGGAGAGTCACAAGATCCGCTATGCAGTCTGCTATAGCCCAGGAGGTGAGAGGGAAGGCAGTACTATGGGGCACTTCTTGGGGTTTTCTTTTACATAATTACAAGCTTCGCAACATGCAGTACTTGTAAAAGAGGCACAATATTAATTTCAACTTTGGACAGATGCAGTTCACTGCTAATCACTCTTTGATTTTCATCTCTAGGGCACTCCAGTGGTGAGATCTCTGCACTGTATGGCTCAGTTCACACTAGCTTTGTCAGCTGGTGTCAGGCATTTGGGAAGTGTTGGTCCCGCTCTGTCATTTTACGTGGCTGAGTTGCTGTTGTTCCCAGTTGCCTCCACTTTGTTATAATACCCCTAACAGTTGACCGTGGAATATTTAGTAAAAAGGAAATGTCACGGATGAACTTATTGCACAGGTGGTGACCTATTACGGTACCATGCTTGAATTCACTGAGCTCCTGAGAGCGACCCATTCTTTCACAAATGTCTGTAGAAGCAGTCTGCATGCCTAGGTGCTTGATTTTATATACCTGTGGCCATGAAGGTGATTGGAACACCTGAATCCAATGATTTGGAGGGGGGTCCCAATACTTTTGGTTTGGCAAAATTGTGTGCGTGTGTGTGTGTGTGTGTGTGTGTGTGTGTGTATATGTATGTATATGTATATATATATATGTGTGTATATATATATGTGTATATATATATGTGTATATATATATGTGTATATATATATGTGTATATATATATATATATATATATATATATATATATATATATATATATATATATATATAGCTGGACCAATGTAACTATGTATAAAAATATCCTTACCTGGAGTTCTTCTTTAGGTAGCTATTCAAGTGCCACTCCTAGCAAAGTATACCTTTTTGGATAAAATGCATTTTTTTTCCTTTCTTTTAAGGACCTTTTTTTTTAATTTTTTTTTTTTTTTTCCCAACTGTAAGCTTTAGGTAGCCAAGCGTTCAAGAAGTATACAAAGTTCAGTTTGAGTCCAATTGGAATTTGGATATGTTTGAAACTGTTTATCAGCCTTTCGAGAAACATTTGGTAATATAATACACAGTGTCACGACTGAAAGAGAAGAATTTTCAGCTGTCTCCAAGCATGTTGATTTAATGGCTGACAATTTGATTGAAAAATTGCAAGACTATTCTCAAAGAACTCTGCAAACCTAGTCATGGAGTTGTAGGGAAATCCCAAGATCACGTTCAGGTCTTAACATTTTGGATGGACAAAAGCTTATGAAGCTCCAAGCAATAGTTATTTTTATAGGCAGAGTTAGGCAGGCCATACGTTTTTAACCAATTTTTTTGTCCTTCAACCACTGGTTGAAGGAAAGAAAATTGATTGATTGAAGGACTCCCCTCCCATGGATCTATTGTATTCTGCCAGTGGGAGGTTTTGCCACCGTCAGAATACATTGATCACTGTTTACAGCTATAGCCACTGGCAGTGATTGAATGAAAAAAACCTGACAGGTTGGTTGTACTGAAGTTGATGAATAGATTGACTTCAGCACAACCAATTAGATCATACATGGATCAAAATTCATCTGGTATTTGCTGAACTGGCTGAATTTTCGATCAGTCTATGGCACCACTACTACTTTTCATATGTTCCAGCTGTTTCTTGTGTGTTCTCCATAATGTAAATTAAATCAACAGCGAGAGTGGCTACACCAGGAGTACAGTAACCCAAGCACAGAGATCTCACCAGTTGAGATGCCGAAAGATTATATTTGTATAATAAGAAACGCAGATGGTTTAGCTCTCTAAAATCTGCCAAAAACTGAAATATCTGTGTTTGGTGGACACTTTAAGATTGACAACTGATACTCCCTCCCTGCCCACATTTAGCTCAGAAGAAACTTTCACTGTAAGATTATTGGGGAAATTGTTTTTAGGACCTGTCATGTCCTCTTCATGCTAGTGTGGTATTATCTTGTCACTGATAACATGTAATTGGTGCTTCATTCTCTTGCAGACCTGCAGCTGTGGCAGAGGGGCGTTCTGCATTCATCTTCTCTTCGTCATGTTACGCGTGTTTCAGCTGGAGCCATCGGACACAATGCTTTGGAGGAAAACCCTAAAGAATTTTGAAGTATGCTAATTCTGCGTACATTGTCTCAAAGAAAATTATTGTATGTGCCTGCAATTTGTAGTCCTCCCATTCCAGCAGCTCCCTCCCCCAGCTAAACAGGAAAGTGGCTTGCAGGCGTGCACAGCAGTTTCTAATTTCTTACAGACCATAGAATCACTGTGCAAAATGAGCTTTTTGTTAGGTAAGAATACTATATGGGGGTTGTGAGGAAAAATATAAACAAAGAGCTCATAGAATTGTCTGTAGTAAAGATGTAAAATGGTAATTGTGAGCTGCAATTCTTAAAGTAGTATTCCAAATGAAAAAAAGAATGCTAAGCTACTATAGTATTCCTATGTGACCCATAAACGTGCTGCTTTCTCCTGCCACTTTCAGGCTGAACCTGGTATTGCAGTTTATTTGCTCTAGATGGTGATCAGAACATGGACAAATATAGAATGATGTCCATGTTTTGACAGAACAGTCCATATATTCATTTTACGGAAGTAATCCTGTAGATGATTAATAACGATGCAATGATTTAGAACAGATTTGTTCAGTTCACTTTTAGAATTATTTGACCTACCTGCATCTATTAACAGATTAATTGCATACATTCTGCAAACCTCAAGAAGGGTTACTTGGAATGAAAACTTATTAAAGCAAACGTCAGCATTTACTAAACTTACAGTAGGTTAAAGCAGAACTATACTCTCCTTGGCTCCAGCAATGTGGCATCCGGCTTTCAAAACTCGATTGATGGCCACTTTCATTGGCCAGGCAGGGATGACATCACTCCCACACATGTGCTGGTGCTCATTTAGATTTGGCATTGCCGAATTGGCAATGTACAAAAGCAAACAGGCAGGTAAGTTGCTTTTAACACTTTCGCTGCCAGGCCCTGTGCCTCACTTTTAACCACTTCAACTCCGGACACTTTTACCCCCTTCCTGTCAAGGCCAATTTTCAGCTTTCAGTGCTATCACGCTTTGACAATTGTGCGGTCATGCAACACTGTAAAAAAAACTGTTGACTATAAAAATCTGAGGTTATCATTTTTCACCTACAGCTTTCAGAGTTTGTAGGAGACCCCCCCCCCCCCCCCCCCCCCCCAAACCATATATTTTCTTTAAGCAAAGGACATATAGAATGAAAGTGCTGGGTTTTTTTTTTTTTTATGCCCAACAATAGTTATGCAAATGTTCAGAAAATTGCTATTTTCATTAAAAATGCATTAAAATCCTTATTAGTGAATACATGGCAATATTTACAAAGTTTATGCTAAATTGCTACTAACGCCTTATTCACATGGGGTGTACAAAAGTGTGTGCCCGTGAAGGGCCATTTTTACCTGCATAGGGATGCCCAGGTGTTCCAGGCAGGCAGTCCCATTCATGTCAATTGGGATGGTGCGGCTGCATGGGCACAGCTGCTGCTCCCAATCTGACATCCATGTGGGTATGGGTGCATGACCCCAACGCAGACCGTGAGTTTAGGGGCATGCCTCCGGATCCACACAGATGTCAAATTTGGGAGCAACGGCCATGTTTGTGCAGTTGCTACATCCCAAATTATATCAGCGGGACTGCATGCTCGGATGCACAGAACACACCTGTTCGTCCCTGTGCAGGTAAACACGACCTTGCTGGGGCATATGCTGTAGTATATCCTGCATGTACAAGGCCTTACTATGTTTTTTTTTTTTTTTTTCAGTTTGATTTTTTTTATTTCTTACAATTTAAATTTTTTAAGATTTTGTTCTTTCGTGGGGGTGGGGGGCTTTGGTGAGATAAGAAGTTTAAGAGCCTGATGTCTCTTTTTTGAGACAGAGAAAGGGCAGTCCCTTTCTCTGCAGCCTGAGCTGCACTGTACATGAATGAATAGGAGTCTGTGTATAGAGACTCCTATTCATTCACAAAACTGAAGTATAGTAAATAGTCTAGCTGAAAAAAGACAAACGTCCATCCAGTTCAACCATTAAAAAAAAAAAAAAGTTATAATCCTATACCCACAGTTGATCAAGAGGAAAGCAAAAAAACCCAGCAAAGCATGATCCAATTTGCTACTTCAGGTAAAAAAAAATTCCTTCCTGATCCCCTGAGAGGGTCTGCTTACTATACTTCAGGAATGAATGGAAACAGGAGAGATCAGTACTGACCACTCACTATATCCATTCAATGAAAGGAAGGGGTCTAGTAAACACATGCCACTGAAGTGACATGAGTTTTAGTGCAGGAGGAGGAATGTCAGGTCCGTATGGCATACGGTCAGCTATAAACAGTGCTGTAGGTCCGTACGCACCACAGACCTGGCAGCAAAAGGGTTAATGCAGAAGAGTCAAAGCATGTCTCTTCTGCATTAAAAATCTTGCCCATTCACTTTTTTTTTTTTTTTACCTAAAGTTCCACTTTAACATCATTGCAACCCATATTCCCCCCCACCCATTGCAACCCTTTCCCTGTTTGTATTGGTTGCAAACAATTTTGGCCCATTCAGTGACACCATTGTGCATTAAATTGGAAAAAAATTAGGAATTCAGTCGTTTCTTTACGGTCTGCTAAAGTAGGCATATTAAGCGATCTTTGGAGAACCATGGTACCTACTGTATTCTCCTCTAATTCTTGAAAAAGAGGGCAAAATTTCAAGAGGTTTTCTGAAACCTGTTAACCCCGAGCAGTGTTCTGCTATATAAATCCGATTAACACATTGCTTAGAGTTGTGTATTTCCCCCCAAAAATGTATGTGTTAGAACTGATCAGTTGTTCAAGAGGTACCTGGAGAGACCGAGGTATATGGAAAATGTATTCGTTGGGGAACTGCGTTACTCTTGGCATGTAGTCTTTCAATTTTTTTCTTTTTTTACAGCTTTAATCTATTTTCTCTTGATTATTTTCTCTGTTTTTAATTTTGGTGTCTGAAAGTCTTTCACTTGGGATGTTGGTAGTTCACCCGAGGGTTCCTTTTACAGGTATTGTGGGGGGGGGGGGTCAGGGTGAATTGAAATGTTTTAAACCCCTGTTCTTTAGTTGTAGATTTCCATGTCAAGCATATCAAGGTGTGCAATAAGTCAGAGATTCCATATAAACTTCTGCTTGTTGAACCCATATTCACTTATTTAGTATTGGCGTGGAAAATACACTAGTCACGTACACAGTTTCAGTTCCTTTTTAGGAACCATCCAAATTCCAGGGTACCCAAGTCAGATCAGTTAGTTTTGTTGCTGTTCTGTTTTATACATTTGACCTGCTGAAGGATAGTCTGAGCAGTGACTGATCACTGTAGCTTCATTGCCTCCATCAGAAGGCTGTTTCATAGAACCCCATTTCGGTCATTTATATTCAAAGTTCACAAAATGTATTCTGAAGCTATTAGCATGGGAGATTGCAAGAAGTATTTCCGGGATTAAACATCTCTCTGAAATGGGCATAAATTAAGATTTGCATAATTTACTCAATTTAGATTTTTGATGTGTTGCATGAAGCTTTGATCATATTTCAGTTTCTCATGTCATCTCCAAGTCCGTTTCTGTACCATGCCTAGTATTTTTTGGCTCTTTTAGATAGCATAATGTATCATCCAAGGCTTCACTTTTTGTTTTTTTTTCTGTTAGGTTGAAAGTTTGTTCCAGAAATATCACAGTAGACGTAGCTCAAGGATCAAAGCTCCATCTCGTAACACCATCCAGAAGTTTGTATCACGCATGTCAAATTCTCATACATTGTCCTCATCCACCACTTCCACATCTAGCTCAGATACCAGGTTTGTACATGGCAGTGAGCACCACTCAGTTGTCATCTCCTCGTTTAAACCGTTAAATTCAGTCTGTAATACCTGATCTCTCATCTCACAACATCTGTAGAGGGTGATTTTTTTCTTTGTTTTATACCGACAACTGATCTAAAATATACAAAGAGCTGTTTGTCTTTAGACTATCTTTCTGATTGAAGCTCTATATGGCTTTGTCATGCACATTTAGACTACTAAAACTAAAATGTGTTGTGCTACTTCAAAGTAGTGTACAAAGAGCATAAATATAACTTTCAATGTGCCGAAATCAATTTGCAAATCCATGCATGAAAACCATAAAAAAAAAGAAATGTCCTAGTGAACAAGCGAAAAGATAACAGTGCATAAATCCTGAAGAGTCTGACACTTTCACATGTAAATTCTCTCTTCTCCAACGTGTTCAGAGGCCATTCACCATCTCCCCGTGAAGACAACACTCACTGGAACAGATGGCTACCATTACAACAGCATATGAGCCTGTGACCATGTCAGATTCCTCAATGTGCTTGCAAAATTTCCCAATATCTGCATCCAATGGCACCTCTCGATGGGATAGAACTAGCATCAATAAAGTTCACCAGGAGCTAAAGGGAAATCTCCAATAGTGTAGTATTTATTGTAATGTGGTATAAAAGCCAGGCATAAACACTTACATATAAAGCCGCTGCTGACCCGGGATCACACAGCAGCGTGATGTCAGCGCTAGAAATTCCGGACTGACGCATTTCATCCAATAGGACATTATCCCATATAGCACAATATATAACAAAAATTTAAAAAAAAAAATCCTGTGATATGTAAAAATGCTTCTCATCTGTATACTTTCATCTGTTCATTTAGCCATTCACCTGCTGATAAGCTTTAATGTTGGCAGCCAGAATAAAAGTGAAGATTTCTTTTATACCTTCTTGAGCCACTTTCTCACATATCTACTAATAGAGCAATTTAGTGCTCTGTTGTTGTTTTTTTTTTGGGGGGGGGGAATAATGTTAGAAATGGGGTGTGTAACCAATGTGTGTTTTAATCCACAGCATAAAAGATGAAGATGAACAAATGTGTCCTATCTGCCTGCTGGGCATGCTCGATGAGGAGAGCCTGACTGTATGTGAAGAAGGCTGCAGAAACAAGCTACACCACCACTGCATGTCCATCTGTACGTCACCCCCTCTTCTGCATGTCACTGTAGCACAGGCCTGGACTGCACTTTTCTTCCCTGCCGCACCTGTTTTAGACTTTTTAGATATGTGGTGGAAATACGCACTGCTTGGTTCACATGGCAGATATAGGTTTGTCACTCACAAATGTAATAAATGGCAGGAGCTTCTAACATCTTGCAACTCTTAAATCTGATTTCCAGGTACTAGTAAAGTTTAAATAGTTTGTTTGGACTAAGCTGGGATATAGCACCATGTCCTAGTCGTGAGATTGGAACTTTCCTCTCCACTCCCTGAACAAAACCAAGTTGGGCTATGCGCTGCTTAGCTATTCACAAGGACCTTGGTAGTCCATGAATTTATATAAAGCTTCCTCCGATTGCTGAGATGGAGAGTTGGACAGATGACATTACAATTTCTGACTCAGCCAATCAGAGGAGGCTTTGTATTCATTCATACAATACAAAGTTCCCTGTGTATGGATGAGCAGTGCTCAGTCCAACTCGATTTTGTCCTGGGAGTGAGACAATAAGTTCCCATCCTACTGCCAGAACACAGCCCTGCATAGTGTATGTAGCTGAGGCTGCATACAGTTTAAACAGCGAATACAGCCAGTGCAACTGTTGGTGAAGTAAATAGTTCTGTTTTACCAGCTTGGTCCAAGTGAGCTATTCAAACTTCAATAAAAGCTGGAAATCCGCTTTAAAGTAAATGGCAAGTCAAAACCTAACTAAGCTTAAAAGTACTTCTACTCTTATTGTACACCTATTCTATCTACCCTGTAAAACTAAAGGTGGCTATACTTAACTGCTCTAAAGTCGCTCCGGTCCAGTCACATGACTGGCTTCCAGTTCCAGCTTCAGTGTAGAGGGAGGGATCGCCGACAGCGGGGACACCATAGTAAGCCTATGGATTAAGTCATTGCCCAGGCTGTGCAGCCATTGTTGGTGACCTCTCCTCTACACTGAAGGCGGCGCTGTAGAGCTCATGTAACCAGACTACAGCAACTTCAGAATAGGAAAGTATAGACTTCTCTCCTTTTGCAGGGTAGAAAGAATAGGCTTAGAATGGGGGTAGGATTAGATTTAAGCTTAGTTATGTTTTGACATGCCTACCTGCTGTGACTACCTACCATTTTTTATTCATACATATTTTAGAGTAAAAGTAAGCAGACCTGCTAAAAAGAGAGATGGTGTGTGTTTTGTTAGTATTTACAAAGTAATGGCAGATGCAAAAAAAAAAAAAAAAAACATAATTTGGAATAAAGTGTAAGCAGGGGTGGGAATGTCTTCAGGCCTTTTAGTGGACGTGTAGATATATAACTACCACCTACACCCCCCTACCCCACCCCACACACTTTGAAACCTACATACACATTGAAACACTAGTGCCCTTGGCTCCCTCTAGAGCCGGACATGCGACTAAATATATGTGATTGCATTGGTCCAGTGTTCTCTGCTAAAATGGAAGGTTCAGGAATTGATGCCTGTCTGCCCTTCTATGAATATCAGTCCTCTAGGATCCTTCATCAGAGAACAAAAATCAAAGGAAGTGCAAAAGTGCAGTAACCCATGAAAGCAACTGGATTTCAGTTTTCTGGTGTCAAATGACTGTTGAAATTGTGGCAGTACTGCCACCTTCTGGTTGCAAACATTTTTATTATTTCTACCTTACACTAATGTGTCCTGGTTGTGCACATTTAATTTTTAATACAGGTAGTTATATAGCGCCGTCAATTTACACAACTCTCTCTCTCTCTCTCTCTCTCTCTCTCTCTCTCTTATATTTTTGTGTGTGTGTGTGTATATATGTGTGTGCGCGCGCGGCGTGTGTGTATATGTGCGTGTGTGTGGTGTGTATATATGTGCATGTGTGTGTGTGTGTATTGAACACGTCACCATTTTTCTCAGTAAATATATTTCTAAAGGTGCTGTTGACATGAAATTTTCACATGTCAGTAACAACCCATGCAATCTATACATACAAAGAAGCCAAAACAAATACAATCAGAAATTAAGTTATGTGTAATAAAATGGAATGACAGAGGGGAAGAAGTATTGAGCACTTGAAGAAAGGGAGATGCAAATAAAGCATGGAAAGTCAAGACACCAGCTAAAATCTATCAGTAATTAGAAAGTAATTAGCAATCCTGCCCCTTGTTAGTGCAAATTCATATCAGCTGGTTCAGTCTCAGCTGATGGCCTATAAAAAGGTGTCTTACTACCAAGGAGTCACACAGAGCTCTCAAGATCTTTGTAACCTTATTGTTGCAAAGCATACTGATGGTATTGGTTAAAGAAGGATTTCTAAACTTCTGAATGTTCTAGTGAGCAGTATTTGGGCCATAATCTGAAAGTTGGAAAAAAAACATTGTTCCACCATAAACCGACCATGACCAGGTGCTCCTCGCAAGATTTCTGACAGTGGAACATTTTAACAGAAGAGTTGTCCAAAAGCCAAAGACCACTTGTGGAAAGCTTGTGGGGAGCTTCAGAAAGACCTGGAATTGCAGGTACAATTGTTTCAAAGAAAACAATAAGTAATGCACTCAACCACCATGGCCTGTATGCACACTTACCACGCAAGACTCCATTGCTAAAGAACAATAATGTTGAAGCTCATTTAAAGTTTGCTGCACAACATTTCTTAAAGCCTGTGAAATACTGGGAGAATATAATCTGGTCAGATGTGACCAAAATTGAACTCTTTGGATACCATAATACACACCATGTTTGTCGGTCAAATGGCACTGCACATCACCTGAAAAACACCATACCAACAGTGAAGCATTGAGGTGGGAAAATCATGGTGTGGGGCTGTGTTTCAGTATACGGTACTGGCAAATGTTGAATCATTGAAGGAAGGATGAATGGAAAAATGTGCAAAGACTTTCTTGAAAAAAATCTGCTGCCATCTACCAGGATGATGAAGATGAAATGAAGGTGGACATTTCAGCAAGACAATGATCCCAAACACAAAGCCAAGGAAACTGTCAACTGGTTTCAAAGAAGGAAACTAAAGCTGCTAGAATGGCCCAGCCAATCACTTGATTGGAGTCCAATAGAAAAGCTAGGTAAGAACCAAAGATCAGAATTCATAGAAGAGGCCGACAGAACCTTCAAGATTTGAAGACTGTGGAAGAATGGGCCAAAATCACACCTGAGCAATGCATGCGATTAGTTTCTCCATACAAGAGGCATCTTGAAGCTGTCATTACCAACAAAGGATTTTGTACAAAATATTAAATACATTTCAGTTAGCGTGTTCAATACTTTTTTCCCTGTGTCATTCCAGTGAATTACAAATAACTTAATTTCTGAACTTTTGTTTTGGTTTCTTTGTATGGATTGCATGGGTTGTTACCGACCATGTGGTGAAAATTTCATTTCAATAGCCCTTTTAGAAATATTTACTGAGAAAAATGGTGATGTGTTCAATACTTTACCCACTGTATATATTATACATTCACATCAGTCCCTGCCCTCGAGCTTACAGTCTAAGGTCCCTAACTCACATTCATTCATACACTTACAAGATCCAATTTAGACAGGAGCTAATTAACCTACCATCATGTCTTTGGTGTGTGAAAGGAAACCGGAGTGCCCGGGGGAAACCCACGCAGGCACAGGGAGAACATGCAAATGTCAGGCAGGGTATTTCTGTGGTTGGGATTCGAACCAACCAACAATCCAACTACTGTTAGACTGAAGTGTAAGCCAGTTAGCCACTGTGCTTCCCCACACATTCTTTAGCTAACTAGCAGTTAAAAAAGCATTTCACATTCAGTTTATTAACTGCTGGTTAACCAATG